AAAAGTGGTGAATTTGGTTTGAAAGGTGGTGAATTTGGTCTGAAAAGTTGTGAATTTAAAGTGAAAATGGTATAATTGTTGGAGTACGCAGAAGTCTTCCAGAAGCCCATCATGACATAGCGTGGTTGGAAATATCAATGTTATGTACCATTTGGGTTGCCTTTAGAAGAGAGAGAAGAGTAAGCTGCCAAAACAGCCACAAATCCACAATGAAGTCCCCTTATTCCGAGCGGAGGCGAAAATCAGTTGAGGGTTTCGGATGAGACGTGAAGGGAGCATGCAAGATGATAGGTAGCAACGCGGTCGGAGACCCTTGAGCAAGCTCCCCTTTGACGCTCTTACCTTCGATTTTGTGACAACATTTGTGCAATGTGGTCCCTATGGTTTACACTTCAACTATGTTCTCTTTGGTGCTTATAAATAATAGCGAGTATTTTGTTGAGCGATGTTCCATCTCTCGGATTGTTGTAGTGTTTTGCGGCCGCTTTACTCGGAGCCGCAGTAGGTCCCCATTTTCGAAAACACTTCAAGCGATTACTGGGGAGGTGTGAGTTCGCCCAGTCGTACAATGGGAAGGATAGCTGGCGCACGTAGTGTACCACTTTGCCCCACGAAAGCGCATGGTAGGGAGGTCAAAGGGTTTTCGGTTTGAGTTCGTTCATGCTTCTTCGGAAATATGCATCCCATGCATCGCACTTCCATGGTTTTCATGGGGAGACGGGCAAGAGAATCGTAAATTGCCGCTTCGTCGCGCGCGGCAATGGGCGCGACGTTTCCTCAGTTTGCACTACCCTTTCAATTGGAGCATCGGATTTCATGTAGACAAAAAACATTTTAGGCACTTACGTCTACTTTTGGTCATACATTGTCTGTTCTCGACCAATACCACCTAAAATCGTCGTCATTAGCGGGCGCGACGTCGCACGCGACGCCAATTGGCGCGACGAATTACGATTCTCTTGTCACATACCCATTTCATGCGATATGTACATACATCACGCCCCTCGCATGTATGCACTCTCCACCCGAGCTCAGTGTCTCGTCGTCTCTCATTGCATCGCGTGTCGTGTCAAGTCGTGTAAAGTGCCACGCCCCACCTACGGTTGGTAGAGAGTGCGTCTGTGCCTCTCTTTCCTAAACTCTTGCAGCCATCGCTGCGCTCGCAGATACACCCCTTATTGCTTTCAGACATGGACTGTAGGCTACTCTCCGTAAACTATTCGAGCCCATTCTGTCGGGCTAGTGCCGTTTGGACTCCAGGAATTTCGGCACCCAGCCCATTTGTACCCAAGTCACCAAATCCGCCAAAAACTTGTATATAGGGGTAGTTTAACATCCTGATTAAGAATATGACATTCACTTTTGTCGCTGGCGTCAAGAGAGGACACTAGGATCACCTCCTAGGCTCAGCCTTAGCAGAGCGCAGATAATCGTAGTGTCATCCATTAGCGCCAGCGACAAGAGTGAATGACATATTCTTAATCAGGATGTTAAACCATACAAATTTTTAGCAGATTTGTTGACTTAGGCAATTTAAAAACGAGCTCGGTGCCGAAATTCTTGGAGTCCAAACGGCATTAGCCATTCTGTCGCCTGTGTAACCAAGATCTCATTTCAAATCTCTTGTTTTCAGAAAGTTCCAGTTTCTTCACTTAAGAAATGTCAGCCTATTGCTCACTTCACGCTGAAAGTGGTGGTGTTCTATTTTCTCCCCCGTATAGTAGTCTCCCACTGAACCAGCGCTTACTTTCAGCATTGCCGATGGTTACCTGCGCATGGTTCGAGCGAGATTGGTCATCCATTGAAATGGAGAATTACTGTTCAAATTAATTATAGATAATAAACGATTGTATATACTGAGTAATTGCAGTGACTTGTACTCAAAGAACCAGAACCGCCTTCGCATTTTAAATTGTTCTGCTGTTTTTCTTATTTCATAATTGACGTTGCGTAAGGTAGAGAGCTGGTAATTGCTGCTAAGTACTGTGTCTTTATGAAGAAGAAATCGTATTGAAGAGTTTTTCGGCCAGTGGTGCACATTCGAGACATTTCTTCCCTTCATCAGTTCCTTTCGAAGGTGGTCGGCGTCACGAAAGGGCATTTCGAGCCAGACGCTTCGGTTGATTAAAGGCCTGCTTTGGAAGCTTTGGAAGCTGTTCAAGGGGCGATACAGAAATGTTAGATGAGGGTAAAACTGGCTCTCTACTCAGCAGGAGATCTCGCATAGTGCTCCTCTAAGATGAATTAATGGACTTTATGAGTGAACGTCGCTGGGATGAAAGGGAAAGTGGCGCATTGAGTGAGGCAGAAATGGAGGGACAGGTTGACGGTGAGGCACGCCATTCGTGTTCACTACCAACTATTCCAGTTATCAGGCTTCACATCGATCGACACGACCTCTACTGTGTTCGGCCGTTCGTCGTTCTTTTTGACTGGCAGGCGGGGAGGGCGGAGGGGATTCCATCATCGGACCACAAAGATTCCTTTCACGGGGTTTTCCAACGGATCTTGCATTGTGTTGTGGCCGATTGCGGTGTCAGCAGCAAGTTCGCGATCCCCGTAATCCTGGTGTGATCGCCGCTTCCGTCTGCGATCACTCCAGGTGGTCGCTTGTCGGCTTGGACCATTCGTTCTCTCCAGTAAATTACCCTTTATTTTCTAGTTAATCGTCTATACTCTCAATCGAATATACTGTTCTTTGCATAGGTAAAGTTACAGTAACCAGTCAACCGAGGAATCGTTCCATCAAGCGCACATCTTATTTCTCTAAGCCGCATCTGGCAGACCAAGCTGGTTTCTGGGAGAAATGAGGGTATGGGAGAGGGTGAGGAATTTTTTGATTGCAGGTCTTTTCCATTCCGGGCTCGCCGTATGCAGAGCGCATCCTAGGGAGAATCTTTGTCAGTTACAGCCACCACCTCCACCGCCCAGATTCTCCTCCAAAATGAGTCTTGTTTCACAACTTCCTTACAATCTTATAGAGCTTTTCCGACAACTTGCCGTCGAGCGGATTGAGTGGGATGAGGGGGGGGGGACGAGCACCTCCGACCAACTATCAGCAATAGCAGCTTTGCAATACCGCCTACCACGGGTAAAGATAAAATGCGCCTGAAAGTAGAACCAGCAGTGCGAAATTTTCCCCAGGTCAACCATGACCTTCCTTCCTTTCCAGCGACCAGAACCCTGTAGATACCCATTGTACCGCGCCTTGACCATATACCTCCTCGAGAGAGCGTAACAAGTCTCCCGGTCAAGTCACCAAGTCAGATCGGGTTTTTGCCGCTTGCTGATATAATTGGAGTGGTTCAGGCTCTTCTTTCAGTACTTAATGATCAGGGCAACTTTGTTAGACACCCACAGTGAGATACCGCGCTTGCAAGTTGATGGAGATTTGACCTATCGGGAGACCTGCACGTCCCCCCCCCCCTCTTCGAGGTTGCTTGAGGTTGCAGAGTCGCATCAGTGCAGAATCACGGGGAGGGATGGAGGGCGAAAGGCGGAAGTACCACTGATGAAACTTTTTACGACCACTTATACTCCCATGTCCTTTTCTAGGTGTGTAGATGTTCATTAGGGTAAAAGTCATATCTCCTTCAGTTGCATAGCTTGATGTGAACAGAAATTATATCCTGGTTCCAATGGCCTGTGCAATTTATCCCAGACGGATTTTGTTCCGATGGATAGACCATTTTCCAAGCAGGAACAATTAGCCGTTTTTAGACGTCGGACTGCAACGGATAACATTAGGAATGAGCTTGTTTCCCACTTTCGTTCCCAAAGACCCTTCTAGACTCCGTGAATCCTTCGCGTTCCCTCAAAACTCTCCTTTGATCGATTTAATTGAAAGTTCTCTGAATTTTATAATTAGCAGCTCCTAATTGCTTCGGTAAATCGAGATAATCAATGACCTGTTCCCCGCGTTGCAATTTCTCTCGTCCCGCCACTATCCGGTCATCATCAAACTGAACGTTTTAGTCATTCATCACTTTCATCACATTCTATCGAAAAAGAATTGAGGTTGCCCATTTGTTGCGCACCATTCCCTCCGATTTCATTCCCTTTGTATGTCAACTCTTTACGGGGCTCCTCCTCGCTCATGAACGAGGCTCTTGATTGCTGCTAGAAGTCCTTGGAAAGGGATAAACGGTTACGATTCGGCTAAGTTTGTCGGCAACTTTCGTTTAATTCGCCGCGCCTCGATCTTTCTTTGCACCAGCCTTTTCGACTGCTCTCACCAACAGCCTAGACCTTTCATCAAGGATTTCAGTCTCTTCAATGTGATATTTTCTCAAGAAGTTGCTTTGTGTACCGCTTGTCGCTTACTCACTTCAACAACTGGCGAATAACGGGCTGGCGGCGCGCACAACATTGCCTCACTGACACGCCCCTTTATTCGCAGTGAAAAATACGAACGATA